GTATATGTTGGTGTCTTATAATGTACTGGGAAAAAATCTAGTAAGGTTTTTACTCCAAACATAGCACAGAGATGGCATTGGTCCATGTTGTGACCAACTTGAGACTTGAGGCTCTTTCATAAAAGATCCATTCTGATCCCACTGATCATCAATGTCAAACCTTGGTAGGCATCTCAGGGACTGTTTTAGAATAATTTAAATCAGATTTGATGAATAGACAGAGTTTCATTGCATTACAAAATCATTCTTCTAAAAATTATAATTTTTCCTTTGGAGTTCCACCAGGTTCCATTTTAGGGCCATCATTTTTCTCACTTTACATGATACTTCTAGGAAATGTGATTAAGAAAAATGAGGTAAATTTGGCATGATGCAAATGTTACCTTTTATTTTTTCATAATGATTCTTTTTTGTTCTATGTTATGTCATCAAACATCACTAAATAAACTAAATAAGGTTATACCCTGATTTAGATATATACCCTACTTCATTAAGACAAAATTTTTTATCACACTTTTGATTTGTTTGAGTCACAGAAATGTGGCTATTTTAGTTACATTTCTTTTTTTTTCATTTTTGTGGAAACTGTACAACAAAAAACATACAAATAAAAGCCATTTATCTGTGTTTGGTCCTGAGTCACTGCATGGCTGTCACCTCACTGTGTGTAACCTGGACTAGAGGAGCACGTCTTAATCCTTGCATAAAACAAGACATGACAGCCTATATTTTAAGACAGTACATCTGTCACTAGACTCCTGTTTGACTAATTCACTGGTCAGATATTTTCATTCTGAAATTGTCTTACCTGACATCATCTCCGCTGTGATTCACTCCTGTTGTGTATGAGAACTTTTGAGTCTCCAGAATCCTTTCACTGATAATATTCTTCTCTATGTGGTGCTGACACTCATCAAACTGCACCCTGAACACAGTTATATGGATGCAATCTGGCTCTCCTTTTACTGCACTCAGGGACAGTACTATGCAAATTGTTATTCGAGGAAAAAAACCCACCTACACTATTCAGTTTAATGTTGTATAAGACACAGGCAATGCCAAAATAACAGACATATCAGAGTAGATCAGTAATGTGTAACAAAGAATATATTAGAAAATATGTACATTGTCGCTGCCATAGAAAACCTTCTAAGTCCATTTTAATAAATATTTACTTTTTTGGACAGTTTGAATACTCCATTTACTCTTTGCATTGTGTCAAAATTTCATGATGAATAGATCAACAGAAATGGTCCAGAAGTACTTGGAATAAAATCTTGTCCAATTAACTTCCAGGAGTTGCCATTTTGGAGATATGAGGTGACGACTATATACAAGTTTATGTAACATTTTCTTGCAGTCCATCATTCATGATGAAATGATAATCGTGAAAACTATTTTTCTAAACAAACAGCAACAGAATTATGCACAGTGATATTGATCAGAACCAGACTTTATGAGTGAAGGAAATAAAATGCAAAGCAGCTACTTTTCTGTGGAAATTCAAAGTGTGGACTGAACTGTACAGTGAACTGTGCACAGCTCTGCAGACACATCATATCTCCAAAGACACATGACCCATTGAGGCCTTGAACCTGATTCCTATTAATAGTGAATTGTCCTGTACTGCTCTGACATCTAATTCATAATAAGAAAATTAGTTGTAGAAAAGCCGTCCAGCTTATAACGTCTTCCAGACACTCACTGAGACACTTCACAGAGAACGCTGTTGTTGGGCTTTAGAGGGTTTTAGGATTAGTAACTAAAAGTAAAACAGAGTTACACTATGTCCCTGATGCACCTACAAGGTGTGATATATTGATTTTGGCCACATGCATTATGGGTGTAATGTTATGAATTAAGTAGTAAAGAACAAATAGCTGCAGCCCAAATCTAACACTCCTGATCCAGTGAATTAAACTGACTGATGATCTGGATCAGAACTGTTCAGTCAGGGTTGGAAGTGTGAACTCTCACATATCTGTTTTTCCAGACATGGTTCTTTAGTAATTGTTAGAGTATTAGTTACTCAGATCAGTATCCATGACAGTGTACAAATCATATCTGAATCATATTCTGGAATTATTATTTTATTAATTACTCTGTATAGTTAATTATTTACAAAAACTGATTAATACCCATGTATAGATTAATCAACTTATTGCTGAATCAATTAAACACAAACTCAATCATCATCAGACCAGGAACTAAAAGTGGTTCCTCTATGGCATTGTTCAAAGAACGCTTTATGGCACCCTTATTTTTAATAGTGTAAGTTTTAACATCTCTGGTTTCAGACAGAATCTTAACTCAAGAGTAGCTTTAGACCCTTTAGGGGTTACAAACTGTGGTCCTGGAGGGCCTGTATCCAGCAGAGTTTGGTGATTTTACTGTTCTAACACACCAACTAACCTCCACTTAACTGCTGAGTTGAATAAGTGTGTTAGAGTTAGAAAATCACCAGACTGCACTGGTGTTCACCACCCCTGGGCCAACTGTGTAATATAGGCTACATGTCATCAACCCTTTAAAATCCCTGTCTTATTACATAGTAAAGTTTATTAATGAGTAATAACAGGGACTTGTCAAACAGGTTGAGCTATTCTTAAGTTATAGAAGTGTGTAATAAAACACCAGCAGGCCCTGGCTAAGTAAGGGGTTAATGTAGGCAAAAGGATATCAGATATAGGCCAGATGTTATTGTTGATTCTCTGAAATGTATAATACCGTGAATGTTTGGGGCAAAGTAAAGTGTAATTTATGAAAAAAGCAGGCCTACTATGTCAGCCAATAGTCAAAAATCTATCAAAACTATTTAGCTGTAATGTGAGATGTAGGCTAGTGGCATTGCATTCAATCACCGCTGAATTGCACACACTAAATTGGGTCTTGCATACACCTAAAAAAAATGTGTTGAGTCCTTGTGCATTGAGACTGTTCGGATGTGAACAGGATTTGGTCCAAGATCTCATCACACCATCAGACATCTTTAATAAACCTAATAAAGTTTGCTCCTAAATGATGATTCTGAATATAAAATACATTGACATCAAAGGAGAGTCATTGTGGTCATCATTAATATGGAACTCTACTGTTCATCTACTCAGTGAATGCTAGTTTGGCTAAATTTGCTGGTAATATGTTAACAACCTGAATTATCATCAATAATATTAGTAATAACAGTAAAAACTAGACGATCATGACAATACTATTAATTGTGTACACAGCAATCCTTTCTAAAAAGGGACATGTTTACTTTTCATGCACACTAATAAACCAATTCTAAAGGAGTATACATATAATTTAAAGACTTTTATTTTATACTATTGATACTGTTAATAACTGCTGCTCCAACAATAGAAAATATAGAATGACTAGTGCAGGAGAATCCACCTCATACACTACAATAATGTAACTCAAGCAGCCAGTGTTGTAGAAACATAATCAGACTACACAATCCCATCATTCTACTGTCATAAATAAAGCCAAGACATTTTGTTAATCATGTTAACATCATGCTATTTAAGCTCAGGCCAGTGCAATTCCTGCCTGACCCAAATCCTCACTTATGAGGACGACCATTAGCTTATGAGCTGCTGAATGCTTTAATTGTATTAGCTCAGTATGGAAAACCTGTATGAATTAGCATGCTTCATGCAAATTATATTCATACAAGGCCATTCATGGATTTGCAAATGAAATGTAAATAATGCACCAGTGAGCAGGCGTTTGTTTCCACACTCTGAAGCGACTCTACTGCACTCAAATCTTCAGTTGTTTTAACACCATACTATTCACACATCATTTAACTTTATTTTATCTCCAGCTGCCATGAAATGCTGACATGCACCACTGTTACCATGGTGCTAACATATCATTAGAATCCTCATAGCAGAGCAAGTGAAATGAGCATTTAGTCAGTGGTGTAAACTAAATGAAGAAAGACTACTTAAAAAGTTATTGAACTGCATTAAACATTGCTAAGTAATGGAATGTGTGACTGGCACATGGCTGTATCCGGGCCTCAGTGTGAAATGAAAAAGATGAAGTAAGTGGAATATCTCATCACAAACATGACAATATAGCTAATGGATGGACTGTCCAGTGGACGTTTCTGAAAGTACATCCTTTACCTGCACTTCTACCAGAAAGGAGTCTGATCATACAGATACAGATGACAAATTAAAAAAACAAAAAACACTGGAGAAATTTGCATACAATCATTTTACGATTTGACCATACACAACTATATATGTTGCAGTTTTACAGGAAAGATTTAAACTGAAAATTGAATATTATTACTCAATTATTATTGAATATTTTGCAGTTCGCTATCTGCTTTGTTACCTACCTTACAGTCCTTACTGCAGTCAGAACTGAACCATCTGTTTTTAAAGTCAATGTAGTAACTGTAATGCACATGCAGTGACTGTAATGTTCATGTAGTTACTGTAATGCACATGTAGTGTACACATGACTGTAATGTATATGTAGTGACTATTTTTCATATAGTGACTATAATGTACATGTAGTGACTGCCATGTTCATATAATGACTGTAATGTATATGTAGTGGTTGTATTGTTCATATAATGACTGTAATGTGTATGTCGTGACTGTAATATTCATGCAGTTAATGTAATGTACATGTACTTACAATAATATCCATGTAGTTACTGTAATGTATATGCAGTTACTGTAGTGTACATGTAACAACTGTAATGTATGTGTAGTTAATATAATGTACATGCAATGACTGTTATGCACATGTAGTGACTGTAATGTACATGTAATATGCAGTGTAATGTACATGTAGTGATTGTACAGCACATGAAGTCACTATAATGTATATGTAGTGACTATTGTTCATATAGTGACTATAATGTACATGTAGTGACTATTGTTCATGTAATGACTGTAATGTATATGTTGTAGCTATATTGTTCATATAATGACTGTACTATACATGTAATTACTGTAATGTATATGTAGTGACTGTACTGTTCATGTAGTTGCTGTAATGTTCTTGTAGTGACTAATGTACATGTAGTATGTAGTCACTGTAATGTTCCCGTAGTTACTGTAATGTTAATGTAGTTACTGTAATGTAACTAAATTTACACAGTGGCGTAAAACTCTCTACTCAGGTTTGTTTTTCTACTACACAGTCAGATCTGTAGGAAATGTAATAATTAATCAGTAAATTCTTTTAAGTGAACTAAACAGACATTCAACAGGTTGAATGTGATTCTGTTGTGATGGTGTGATGTGCTGCTGTCATTTCTGTTACAGAATAAAAGTAAATGATCAGAAATTAAAAAAAAAAACAAAAACAGAATACAAATAAATCTGAATTTTGAAAGCCGTAATTTACCTGAAATTTGAATTGTGTCTGAGGGAGCTCCACCTGCTGAATAGAAAATCAGAATCAATGTTTGATGTAAATTAATGCAGCCTCTCAAACCTGAAATGTGTATGTTCTGACTTCAACACTCAGATGAGAAAAAATAAAGCTACAAGTCAAAGAATTTGTATGACTTAATGTTTTTATGGTAATGAAACACATAGATATGAGGAACAAACAACTATAGGTGCACTCAGTATGATGGTTGCAGTAAAAAGGGAATTTGACTTATGAAATGGTAGTAAGAAATGCTAAATATATTGTATTTATTGTATTTAGTTGCATAAACTGTAAAAAAAAATCACAGTGCAGATAAACTAACACTTTATATATAGTAACTTTAGAGTCTTAAGCACTATTGTGTCATTGTTATACAACGAACAATGAACAAGCCTATTTCTACGTTCTAATATACACCCTAACCACTGCATTCTTTCAGTGCCAAAATCAGTGTGCTCATCATCATTTAATCCCTCAAAATCTCAGGCTTATTACATACTAAGGCTTGTTATTCAGTAACTATAGGGACATCAATGCAAATTAGCTGAGCTTTTATTAGGTCATATAAGTATGTAATAAAACTTTCAGCCCTGACTATTTAAGGGGTTCATGTAATATTCATCAATGTAGACTCCAGCATTGTTTATTTAATCTAACTGTATTCTTCCCCAGCTGATCCAAAAATACACATAAATACAAATTCAGCTGCAGCTGTTTGTTTTCCTAGGTTTCCAAGACAACATCTCAAATATTCGGCTGTGTGTAAAGACAGTGTTTGAGTGTTCATGTTCATGTCACTTACTTACCTAAACATACAATGAAGTACAACTGCCAAAACATAGGAGCTGCAAGTAAAAAAAAAACAAAACTAATTTATAGTTTTACTTTTTCATTTGACAGACACTTGCTAATAAATGTTTATTACAAAACTGAAATGTCACTTATTTAAACTGGTCCTTGTATTCCTGACAAACTATTTGATGTTTTAGTGTGTATATGCTTTCAGATCTTCTGTTAAGTTTGTATGATTGAGTATTATATCTATGTAAAGTACACTGTAGTGAATCACATAGAAAAGTAGCAATTTCATATTTAGACCAGTGGTGTCAAAGTAAACATATCGATAACATATTAATGCAAAAAAATGTTTAACACTTCAAATGTTTTTAACACCACTAAGTATTTCCTAGTTTGACCCTTCAGTTCATCCATAGTTCCACTCTGAAGCTGTGTGTTGCTGTAAATCTGTGGCTGTATTCCTCTCATTCAGATACAGCTTTGAAATGGCAAGTTCTTTTGATGACTCTCTTGATAAAACCTTTCTACAAAATCTTTTCTGTTATCAGTTGTCAGGAACTTAAAACTGTTACACACAAACTAAGCTCTGCTGCATGTGATCTGTTCCTACATCATTTTTTAAAGATGAATTCATGGACACTTGATCAGTGGCTTTACAGAACCTAATCTTCTCAGTTATCACATTGCAGTGCTGCCTAGTGCCAAAATGTGTCACCAACAGTGCACCTTTCCCAAACAACTGTCCCCACGCAGAGGGTAATCTGAACAAATCAAACCCATTCTTTGTACATAAATGGTTTGACTGGGTAAAAAGAAGAAATTTAAACTTCATAAGAAAATCCTGGATGGGCAGCAACCCTATTAATAACTGTACTAAGATTTGCAAACTGATCTCTGTCAACTGGGGTTTTCCAAGATGTTTGTAAGACTGCCTTGGCTGCTGCAACCTTGAACCCTGCCTTCAGCGTCCTTCTTGGGCCTGGGGTACCATACGCCATGCAACAATGCTCTATTCAATTATGACAAAAATATTTATCCCACCCTGAGGGCCTGAACTGGCAAAATACCCTCTGTTTACTGATTGTATTTTTTTATTTGTTTGAGTCACAGAAAGGTTACATTTCTGAATTATTTTCAGTTTTGTAGAAACTGTATGATTAAAACAAAAGCCATTTATCCATGCTTGGTCCTAAATCACTGTTTGGCTATCACCTCACTGTGTGTATCCTGGTCTGGAGTAGCACATCCTGACGAATATATTTAAGGGCAGCTCATCTGTCACTAGACTCCTGTTTGACTAATTCACTGGTCAGATATTTTCAGTCTGAAATTGTCTTACCTGACATCATCTCTGCTGTGATTCTCTCCTGTTGTGTACGAGAACATTTGAAACCCCAGAATTCTTTCACTGATAATATCTTCTCCTTGTGGTGCTGACACTCATCAATCTACACCCTGAACACAGTTATATCAATGCAATCTGCCCTCCCATTTACTGTACACAGAGACAGTACTATGCAAATTGTTATTCGAGGAAAAAACTTGCCTACATTATTCAGATAAAGGCAATGCCAAAATAATGGAAACACCAGAGTACACTGTCAAAAATGAGAAGTCTGCTCAACTTAAAATAAAATAGTAACTGATTTCATTCATTTCACTGATTTTTATTTGACTCAACTTGAGGACACAGGAATTCAACCAACTCAAACTTCTTAGGTGAGTCAAAAATTCTCCCAGCTTGTGTTTCTAGCTCTGCATCTCAGTTAGATAAACAAAACTGAATTTGTGTTTTTTCATTCAGTTTATCCACTAGCTGACACCATCACACAGTCCGATCTGGAATATGTTCCTCTTGGTCTTCCAGATATGGACAGCTGGGGTATTGATGGGATTCAAACTCACAATCTCCTGATTTTGGGATAAATTATTAGACAGTTGTATCACATGAGACTACGCTATGCTTTAACATTACAACAACAAATATATTCTCCAGTGTATTAAACATTTGTAGTCTAGTGGGGAAGTTGAGTATAAAAACAAGTTCCTTTTATTTACCTTACTGACATGCAGAACTAAAAAATTAAGAGAACTTTTGACTCAACTAAGAAAGGTGAACTCTTGTGAAGTTGAGTCAACTCTTAAAAAGAAATGCAATCAGTTACTATATTATTTTGAGTTGAGCTGACCTCTCATTTTTAACAGTGTATATTAGTAATAAGTAACATCAAATATATGAGAAAGTAGAAAAGAAGGTGTTAGTGCTCAAAAACAAATGTTTTTATGTCCAACACCTAAAAGATATTAACTGTCACTGTGACACAAAAACCTTGTTCCTTCGTCACTTTCATGTTCATGATAAATGAAATCTTGTTCTATTAACTTCCAGTACAAGTGAAGAATGTTTTTTCCTTCTCCTGTAAAGTTACCATTTGGCTATATGAGGTTTTGTTCCAGCAGTGATGATATACAGGTTAACTTACTTACTTCCAAACGTCCTTGTAGGCCATCAGGATTGATATTCGTTAATACTATAGTTTGAAATAAATAGGAACATAATTATGCAAATACTGATCAGAGCCAGACTTTAGGATTGAGGGAAGTGAAATGCAAAGCAGCTACCTTTCTGGAAATTCAAAATGTGTACTGTACAGTAAACTGCGCAAAGCTTTGCAGATCAAAATCATGCATGATAAAATGAAGGCTTCAAGCTGATGAACATCAATAGTGAATTCTCCTGTACTGCTCTGACATTTAATTCATCAAAACAAAATTAGTTGTAGAAAATTGCTTAATGTCCAGCTTTTAACATCCTCCAAACACTCACAGAGACACTTCAATGAGCACAGGTTTTTGGGCTGTAGAGGATTTTAGGATAGTAACTACAAGTAACACAGAGCTACACCATGTCCCTGATGCACCCGTTAATGCAATATGACATATACAGTAGCATGCAAAAGTTTGGGCACCCCTGGTCAGCATTTCTATTACAGTACTTTTCTATGAATAGCTGTGCAATTAAAGACCTTTAATGACCTAATTTCCAAAATAAAGCTAAAGATGACACATTTCTTTAGTACTCTAAGTAAGATTACTTATTATTACTAATTATTATTTCCATCTTTTACAGTTTCCAAATAAAAGGAAAACCATCTAAAGCAAAAGTTTGGGCCCTGTGCATGGTCTGTACTTAGCAACACCCACTTCTGCAAGTAGCCCAGCTTGTAAATGCATTTTGTAGCCAGCTAAAGGTTCATGTTTGGTGGATTTCTACCAATTCTTCCTTGTAAAAACATCTATTTCTGTGATATTCTTAGGCCGAGGTTTAGGTCGGGGGGCTATGGCGGTCATTGCAAAACCTCCAGCTGTGCCTCTTGAGGATTGAGTATTGTGGATTTTGAGGTGTGTTTAGGGTCGTTATCCTGTAAACAAAAAGTCATCCTCTTTTCATCTTCAGTTTTTTTACAGATGGTGTACTATTTGCTTCCAGAATTTGCTGGTATTTATTTGAATCCATTCTTCACTCTACCAGTGAAATGTTCCCCATGCCACTGGCTGCAACACAAGCTCAAAGCATGATTGATCCACCCCTTATCTTAACAGTAGGAGAAGTGTTCTTCAGACAGGTGTTCTGCACCCTTTTCTCCAAAACATACCTTTGCTCACTGTGGTCAAAAAGGTCAATTTTAACTTCAGCTCTCCACAGTAGTTGTTTCCAAAATGCATCAGGCTTGTTTAGATGTTCCATGAATTTTGTGGTGAGGACGCAGGAAAGGTTTTCTTCTGATAACTCTTGATTTTGTGTATGAATATTAACTGGATGCCATGTCGCTTCATGTGCTTTTCTGCTTGTGACTGCTATATGTTTTTCTCAGCAGCACACTTGCAGCTCATTTGTTGCAAGCCTACTGCACACAGTCAGCCATGATACTTGCCTGCACAAACCCGCAACTTGTTGGCTGTTTACCCGCAATGACCGCGGTGCAGGCGGCACGGTGGCGCAGTGGGTGTGTGATTGTGTATGTCTGTCTGTCTGCCCTGCGATGGACTGGCGACCTGTCCAGGGTGTATCCTGCCTTCCGCCCAATGACAGCTGGGATAGGCTCCAGCACCCCACCGCGACCCAGAAGGATAAGTGGTTTAGATGATGTATGTATGTATGTATGACCATGTGCTTCAAACTGAGTCCCGCCCGCAAATTATTTAGCAGATCACATGGGACCCGCAGGTGAACCCTGTCTTGTGCAGACCTCTAGTGTGAACTCACACATTTGTCTTTTTCAAACATGGTTCTTTAGGAAAACCAAAAATGGTTCTTCTATGGCATCACTCAAAAAACCCTTTATAGCACGTTTATTTTTAACAGTGAAGGTTTCAACATTTCTGGTATAAGACAGTATCTTATCTCAAGAGTAGCTTTAGATCCACTAGGGGTAACAAACTCTCACAGTAAACAAATTCTGAGAGTATACATACAATTTAAGCACTTTTCTTTTATACTATTGATACAGTTATTAACTGCTGCCCCAAAAATACAACCCATAGATTACCTAGTGCAGTGGAATCCATCTTATACACTGTAATAATGTAACTCAAGCAGCCAGTGTTTTAGAAAAATAATCATACTACAAAACCCCACCATTCTACATAAAAATCAGATAGAAAAACAGGGGTCAAAAACACACCCAAAAAACTCACAGCTCCTGTGCCGGCTCTTTGTCGTGTTCCTGTGCCAGCTTTTTGGACTGCTCCTCATGTGCCAACTCCAAGAGTTGCTCCAGTGCCAGGTTTTAGGACTGCTCCTCATTTGCCCCACCCAGAGCTAGTCCTCTTTCTGTGCCAGAACAATGGTTGGCCCCACAGCTGGCTTCCCAGTGTCCCACTCAGCCAGCCCACATTGCTAGTTCACATTGAGAGTTCTGTGAACTCTGTTGACCCCTCCCCTCTGGACTTTCTGCCAGTTGTGGCCTTGGCTCCTCACGGTCTGGGCACACTTTCTGTTGTGTGTTTCGGGGAGCTGCACAGGGGACTAACACAGGAAAAGTGGTGGATCAGCATGGTGAGCCAGCATGGAACCTGCATGGGGAACCACCGCAGAAAGAGCAGCAGCTCGGGAAGCTGGGTGGTCAGTTTAGGGTGGCTTGATGAGGGCAGGTGTCACTTTCTTGCCAGAGCATTGACCAGTTCCTGCCTAGCCCAAATCCTCACCTATGAGAATGACCATTATCTCATGAGCTGCTGAATGCTTTAATTGTATTGGCTCAGTAAGAAAAAAATCTGTATGGCCATTACGGATTTGTAAGTGCAATATAAATAATGCACCAGTGTGCAGGTATTTGTTTCCACACACTGAAGCTAAATCTCCTGCACTCAAATCTTCATTTGTTTCAGCAATATATGACATTTTAATTAATCTGATGCTGTGTAATTTGTATGTCATTCTTGTTGTTATGCAACTGTGTTTTAGCTTCAGCTACCATGAAATGCCCACATGCACCACTGTTACCTTGGTGCTAACATATCATTAGAATCCCCATAGCAGAGCAGGTGAAAATGAGCATTTAGTTAGTGCTGTAAATTAAATGATGAAAGGCTACTTTAAAAGTTAATGAAGTGCATTAAAATTGTTAAGTAATGAAATGTGTGACTGGCACATGACTGTATCAGGGTGAAATGAGTGGAATATCTCATAACAAATATGACAGTATGGCTAAACACTACATCATGGATGAACTGCCCAGTGGACGTTTCTGAAACTACATCATTTACCTGCTCTTCTACTAGACAGGAGTTTAATCATACAGATACAGAAAAACTGATAAATAACCAAAGAAAAATGTTGGTGAGATTTGCATATGCTCATTTTACGTGACCACATGCAACTTTGATGAATAAAGGCCAATGTATTTTTACTTTGTCTGTTCCAGTTTTACAGTAAAGATTTAAACTGAAAGCCTATTACTGAATATTTTTGAAGGAGTCTGTTAGCTATCTGCTTTGTTGCCTACCTTGTAGTGCTGCTAACTGCAGTCAGAACTGACCCATTTGCTTTTGGCTTCAGCAAAAACTTATCCATAGGCAAAATCCACCACTGATAAGTTCTTAAAAAACTGCAACAGAAGCTGAACACAGAATCACTACTCAGTGAATAAAATGTAAATAGACTCTTCTTCATTTTCAGTCTGCTACACACATTCACATACTATATACATTCTATATATATATATATATATATATATATATATATATATATATATAAATTCTTATGAATGTTGTCAATATTCCAGTTAATATCAGTGTTTTCTTTATAATGAATTGAGAATTGACTCTGCACAGTGTTGTATTTTCCTGACTCCGACACACCTCAGCCAGCACC